AACCAACTATTGTTAGTGAGCAGCAGCAGAAACTATAGAATCAGATCTTCAAACACTACAGGCAATGGAATTATCAGTTAAAGAATTGCCGGTATTTCAAGAGTAAAAATATCGTTGCCTCTTGTTATCTGAAAAGTTCAGATCTTTTTGGTTTGTTGTTTTTTTATTGCTCATTCTTTTTACAGGGTTACATCCTGACATTTTTATGTAACTTGAATTTTGTTTTTTGCAATTTGTTTGTTTGTTTTGGGGGGATATACACCAAAATGCTCAGGAATATATAATCATTTAAACAACCAAAGGACACATTCTTCAAGCCTGCCTCCTGGCCGCCAGCAAACAGCCTTTATCTTTCCATGAGTCTAGAGTCCTCAGCTGCTCTGCTGCTCCATGTCCTCATCTTTGCCTCCATCTCTGGTGTTGTTGCTTCTCGGGATAGGGTCCCACATTCCGCTCACGCTCTTCTCCCTTGATGGTCCTAGGGTCCTCTGTTCCTGGACTGTAAGATTAACTACTCCCCCTCTTTTTGTTACAAAACTTCTTTACAGTTGTGACAATCACAATTAGTCATGATAACCATTACTCACTATTGAATCATAAGAATCTTATCCCCATCTCCTTTCACCTGACCTGTGTAGACAAAATGAAAACCATTCAGTGGGGATTCTACCTTCCTCCACACACTCTGAAACTAAACTTTGGGGTTGTTTTTTGTTTTTTGAGATAGAGCTGATGTCCTCTCTTATCTGAACTCTAAACACTTAGTGTCAAAAACCAAGGTATCAAGTAACACAGAATCCCTCACTATAATGGAATGAACTGTATCCCCCCAAAAAGGCAAGGTGGACGTGTCTGACCACTGGTGCCTGTGAACATGACCTTGTTTGGAAATAGACTCTTTGAAGATGTTATCAGTGAACAGTCAGAAGTGTTGGTTATTCAGTGGGAGAAGCCTTACCTCCCACACCAGAGGATGGGGTCTGATTCCCAGCCAGCACACCTCCCAGGCAGCGTGATACCAGCCACCTGTCACTGGAGACTTGCTGCAGCTATGATGCTGAACAGACTTCAGTGGGGCTGTCAGACTTACGATGGGACTCAAAAGACAGGACTGACTTTCTCCTTCTGAAAATCACCTAGTGTAAACACCCTGGATCTCCACTGTCCAGTCTTCAACTGATCCTGTGGATGACACAGACCCAAGTAGTACTGGGGTGGGCAGGAGTCGGGCTGACGAAGACAGCAGCTGATACCAACATCCGTTTCATTAGATCAGACCAAAGTAGGGTAGTCCTTTTTCCATCTGAGTGGTGCTGTCTTATCAAACAGGACAACAGACCTGAAGATATAGGCAGCAGAGAGGCCTCCAAAGTGGTCAGCACTGCCCAGGCCCTGATTTGGACTTGCAGCCTCCAGAGCCATGAGACATGCAATGTCAAAACCACTCTCTTGTGGTATTTTTGTCACGGCAGCCTAAAGACCTCGCTGCCTAAACCCTAACTCTCCAAGCTCTGGGATCCGATTCACACAGTGGGGAATATTCTGAATACCGAGGAGTAAGAGACCATAAAAATGACGAGGCGGGTTTGAAAATTAGCCAAATGAAATTGTATGTCACTGAGCCTACAGTTCCAGAATGAAGACATTGTGATGTCATTTTCAGAACATTTTAGCAAACAGATCCTCTTTAAAAATAAATAGATAAAAATAAGATGGTAAATACACGATTAAATCTAAACCTATATTGAACATTTAAAATAATGGCAGTGATCTAAATTGTAGAATATTTTTAATTAAGGTAAAACTACAGTCTTGGATAAGAGCAGAATTCGAGGCAAGTATGTTGGGGGTGGTGATAAGAATTAAAGTATGCAAAGTGTCAGGATAGCAATTTTAGATTTTTGTTAAATATATATGTTAAAATGCCTAACATGTCATGAATATTAAAATAATAGAAATGAGATGTATAAATTCCAAGCTAGTAAAAAGGAAGTAAGTTTTCCTTTTGCTATATCAATGGAAGAGAATATTGTGTCTGGAAATAGACCCAAACATACATGGTCAATTTTGGACAAAGGTGCAAAAAGCAACAAATGGTACTGGAACAACTGGATATGCATGTGCAGAAAGTTTAATCTTGACCCATACTTTGCACCAGATACAGAAGTTAATGCAAAATTGGTGATAGACCAAACCGAAAGCTAAAAACATGTAGAGGAAACTATAGAAGAAAAGTTTTGTGACCTCTGGTTAATCAAAAATTTCTTAGATCCTACACCAAAAACATGATCCATAAAAAGGGGTGGTGGATGGAGTGGGAAAAGATTTTATCAAAATTGAAAACTTTTGCTCTTTAGAAAACATTAAAATACAAGCCAGAATAGGGGAAATTATTTGCAAAACCTAAGACTTGTATATAGAATATATAAACTCTTACCACTCAGTAGGAAGAAAGTGCACAGTCCAATTATTTAGAAATGGGCAAAAGATTTCAACAAACTCTTCACCAAAGATGATTTATGAATGGCAGTTAAGCACATAAAAAGATGCTTGACATCCTTAGTCTTTAGGGAAATGCAAATTTAAAACATAATGAGATATCACTAAACAGCCAGTAAAGTGGTTAATATTGAAAAACCTGACCATACCAAGTATGATACACAGAGAAATTGGAGTCAAGGATTTAGTTTTACTTGGATCTTCAATCAACAGCCATGGAAGCAGCAATCAGGAAATGACAAGCTACATTGGACAGACTTGCTGCAGAAAATCTCATTAAAGTGTTAAAGCAAAGGCTGCACCTAACCTAAGCCACAGTATTTTCAGTTACTCATATTCATGGAAAACTGGACAGTGTTTAAGGAAGACTGAAGAAAAACTATGTCTTCGAATTATGTTATTGGCAAAAAATGTTGAATGTGTCATGAACTGTCAGAAGAATGAACAAATGTGTGTTGGAAGAAGTACAGCAAGAATGGTCCTTGGCATGGAGAGATGAAGCGGCTGGGGACTCTGGACTCAGGGAGGGAGAGGGGCTGTGTGCTGATGGCCAGGGGGCAGGTTTGCGGGGTGTACCCTTTGTTTGGTTGAGGACACATGGAGGGGATTGTAATCATTGCAATGAAACAAAATACGATAGGATGAATGTAAAGCTGATGCTCTCGCATGTAAACTATCACACAGTTCACAAAAACATTTTAAAAAATAATAAAAATTTTAAAAAGTAAAGAATGGTCCTTGGAAGTGAGAATGGAGAGACTTGGTCTCACATACTTTGGACATGTTATCAGGAGGGACCAGTCTTGGAGAAGGATGTCATGCTTGGTACAATAAGGGATCAGCAAGAAAGAGGAGGAGGACACAGTGATTGAACAATGTGTCCAACATACAACCATGGAGAGAGAGGCGCTGAGCCGAGCAGTGCCGTTCACAGGATCTAAGTCAGAGCTGACTGGATGGCACGTAACACCAACAGAAACAAATGCCAGGTATTGTGAAGATTAAGGAGCAACAGAATTCTTGTTCACTGTTAATGGGACTATATAATGTGCAACTGTTTTAGAAAACAGTTTGGCAATTTCTTAAGCATATACCCACCACATGAACTAACCATTCCATTCCTAAGTATTTTCCCAAGAGAAGTGAAAGCATATGTCTGCACAAAGCCTTGTACACAGAAAAGCAGTAGTAACTTTATTTGAAATACCAAAATCTGGAGGCAATCCAAATTTACACAGGAGAATGGATAAACAAATTGTGGCTTATCTATACCAGGGGTAAAATTAATGAAATAAACAAAATGATGCAGAAGTAACTACTGATACATGCAACAAGTGCCATCGAGTCAGTTCTGACTCATAGCGACCCTGTGTAGGGTTTCTGAAGAGTGCTTGGTGAGTTTGAACCACCGACCTTGTGGTTCAAACCAACCTTGAAGTCCAGTGCTTATCCTACAGTGCCATACAGGACTCCACGGTTCCGTTGTTGTTGGTGGTGTTAAGTGTCACTGAGTCAGTTCTGACGCATAGTGACCCCTGTATAAGGTTTCCAAGGAGCTGCTGGTGAGTTTGAACTGCCAACTTTGAGGTTCAAACTAACCTTGCAGTCCAGCGCTTTATACCACAGCACCTTCTTAAATGTGGGGAATGTTTCAGTTCATTCCCAGAAATACCAATAAACTAAAATACATAGTACACTCAAAAAAAATAAATGATTGGTTTACATTGGAGGACCAGTCTCATTAAATATGAAGTTTCCATAGTCGTTTTTTTAAAAAACATCATCATGGGAACTTAAGAGGGAGGAGTAGCACTGTTTCTAGAAAATTGATTCTTTTAAAGACGATCACAGAAATTTAGAGTTAAAAGCACGATTACTTGTTTTCTAGCAAGGTTAGTGTTTAGCCCTATTGGAAACCTTCAGTGATACGAGCACACTCTTTCCCAGGCCAGCCCTCACCATATTTGGTCATGGATCCACACTCCTACCACATGGGGAAAGTCTGTATGCACACTCCTCAGATGTTTGAAGGAAGTGATAGGAGGACCTCAGTTCTCTCCTTCATGTTAAGGTACCCAACCTCCTCCACTGAGCTTCCCCAAAGCCTTGATGTGAAGTTACTGATACAGCTCTTGCTGCTCCAAAACTTCCTTTGTTTTTCAGTTCTTCTTCTTTGCTAGGTTATAGTCTTTGCTAGGTTATAGGTTATAGGTCTTGTCTCTAACTTCCTACAAGTGAATCTATGAAATGGAAACCTATAACTCAGCACACATTTTGGAAGAGTACATAACCACTCTTAAGTGATCTTCTATCTACATGTAGATTCCAAGTAAGAGATTCCATTTTTTTAAAGCAAAAACTACATCCATCCATAGGAAATCGCTTCCCAAATGAAACAGTTTGCCTATTTCTTAGCAGATACATATGCTTTAAGACGGGTAATGTAGTTTCATGCTTTCTCAACGTATTAAACAAATGCATTTTTATTTTTGTGTTTTCAGATAGTGGCCAGAACAGTAGTGCCAGTAGTAAAGGTGAACGACTAAGTGCCAAACTCAGAGCTTTACCTGGGACAAATGAACCTTATGAAAGTAGCAGTAACAAAGAAATAGGCAAGTGCTGGTGTACCCCCCTCCCCCCCCAGTTCCTCAGTTCCTAAGGGCATAGCAGGGCTGAAGGAGACTGGTGAGGTGACCCAATCCTGTAATTGGGCATTGTTAAGATCTTTGATGTATACAGACAAAATCTACAAGGACTTGAGAGAGCATGTCTTTGCACTCTGAGTTGTTCGGTTTTGGTGATTAGACTAACTGGCTTCCCACTTGTTTTGCTTTTATCTGTTACGCTAATAGAACCATCTCTTTTGAAACCTAGATGCCTCCTACGTGGATCCACTTGGCCCTCAGATAGAAAGACCAAAAACTGCAGCCAAAAAAAGGATTGATGAAGATGACTTTGCTGATGAAGAGCTGGGAGAGGACTTGCTCCCAGAATAGCCTTTTCATATAGCATATATTAAAGGGAGGAGATCCCATCGCCTTAAAGGATAATACTCATGTTAAACTTTTGGTTAAATAGCCAAACTTTAACTTTGTATACTGTCAAAACTTAAAATGCATGTATTCTGTTGAGTTGCACTACTTTGGTGTTTTGTAATTGTGGAATAAATACGTGAAAGTATTATTTTAGGCTGGTGACTTCCTTACCTTTTAACAACATTGATCCAAAGAAATAAATCAGTTTTTTAACACAACCCGATATATACACACATAAGGGTAAGTCGAAAAGCATTGCTAGAAAATCATAGAAACTTTTATTAAACAAAAGTATCAGGTGTGGCGCTGTGGGTTAATGAGTCAGACTGCAAAGCCGTTTGAACTGCAAGGGCGGCAGTCGGCAGTTCAAGCTCACTAGCTACTCCTTGGAAACCAGATACAGGGTCTCTATGAGTCGGAACCGACTCCACGGCACATAACAACAACAATCTTCCCCAAAGAATTTTGTACTATTCAATTTATACCACATCAGAACGACAATTGTGGTGCCCTCAGGGAACTCAAAAGGAGCTCTGGTAGCGTAGTGGTTACGAATCAGGCTGCGAACTGCAAGGTCATCAGTTCAAAACTACCAGCTGTTCCGTGGGAGAAAGATGAGGCTTTCTGGCCCTGTAAAGATTTACAGCCTCAGAAGCCCTGTACAGGGTCGCTATAAGTCGGAACCGACTCCACGGCACATAACAACAACAACAGGGAACTCAAATGGTGTTCCTTTTCAATGTTCTTTGAGTTTGGGGGACAAAAAGAAGTTTGAAGGGGTAAAATCGGGGCTGTCAAGTACATGGGGTAAGGTTTCCAACGAAATTCTCCTTAGGGAAGCAGGTGCATTGTCATAGTAGAAAAAAACCGCTCCTGGAGCAACTTTTCCTGGCCTCTTTCTCACCAGTGCAGTTTTCCGTTTTCCTAAAGCAGCTTCATAATCCCTCATGATTGTCCTGTGTCTTTCGAAATAGAAAATCTATCAAGATTATCTCTTTCGTATCTCAAAACACAGTCTCCTTAACCTTCTGAACTGACTTTCTGCCTGAAGAGGAACTCAGCAGTTACCCTTGGAAGCCACCGTTTTGACTGAACATGTTCAAACCCACCAAGCTACTCCTCGGAAACCCTATACAGAGTTGTTATGAGTCGGAACCAACTCAATGACACTTCACAACAACAAGTATACTAAGACAGTGGATTACTGATAGAACTTCTCTGCAGCCATCCACTGATTGCAGAGACATGTTTAAACACATTTTTCTTTGAAATAAAGTTGTGTGTATATGAACTGGAATTTTTTAGTAGCAATACTTTTTGACTTAGCCTCGTATGTGTGTGGATGTATTCATGAAATATTTGCAGTGCATGCTGATATTTTCTATAATTTCATTAAAATAGGTAAAATTCTAGTATTGAAGTCAATACTTTGATTTCATAGTTTGAAGCTTAAATACTGCACTGGAATATACCCACAATAAATCTTTATTTGAGCTTAATTGCTTGGAGTTTGAAAACGGTAAGTCTTTGGAAGTTTTGCCTCAGGACTATTAAAACAACGTTTTGGAGGAAGTGCAAAGTACAGTGAGAGAAAATACCAAACCATAACCCTGTTACTGCAGTTCCTTTCAGCCTTCAGCCCTGTGACAACTGCAAGAATGCTGTTCCCATTTGTGTCTTTAGGTATGACATAGAGGGCAGGCTGCCTGCATTTTCTTTAGCAATGTGTTTGGCTGGCCAAGACTGCAGAGGAATTTCACTGATGAGACAGAAGAAACGGTTCATCTTTAGCACTACACTAGGGAGCGTGGATCCCTTGATCTTAGTTAACATTATCTCTACAAATCACACACTACTGTTAGATGCTGGCAAGTCCCAAATCTGTGGGTCAGACAGTAGGCTGAAGGCCTCTTCTGGCTCACGTAGCTTCAGGGACTGATAAACCCTCAAGAGACCTGCAGATTTACATCCCTTGACTGGTGGGCAGGTGATGAGTGCAGGGTCCAGACAGAAAGCAAGCGTTGCCAGAACTGGGGGCAGACCACACCCCCAAGACACTCCCCTTTCAAATGATTGGCTTTTCACATCAGATCACGGAATGGAAGGTGGTTATGTCGTGTCTGCCAAACAACTCAGAATCCTAGGTTAGCCAAGTTGACACATAACATTTATCAGCACCCCACCCACTGCCACCCAGTTGATTCCCACTCCTAACAACCCCGTGTCGTCTCTCCAGAATTGTACATCTTTATGGGAATAACCAGACTCATCTTTCTCTCATGTAGCAACGGGTGGGCTTGAACCGCCAAACTTGCAATTGCAAACACCTAACCCACAGCCCCACCAGGGTGCTTTTAACCATCACAATGGTGTGCTATATACATAGGAAAGGAGATGAGCTCCAAGAGGTAATTAGATCCTGTAGAGACTTACAGACTCACGTTGTTGTGTGTGGTCAAGTCAGTTCCAACTCATAGATAGAGACCCTGTGTAGGGTTTCCAAGGAGCGGCTGGTGGGTTTGAGCAGTCGCAGGAGCAGAAAGCTTCATCTTTCTCCAGTGAACTCGTAACTGCAGATCTTGTGGTTCATAGTCCTGTGCTTACAGTATGGAGCCACCAGGCTTAGAGTGGGTTTTGTTCTAGTTAAAGAAGACTTTAGAAGGTTTTGAGCAAAGGAGGTGAAAGGCATGATCTGACGTAACCTTTTGAAAGCAGCAGCCACGTTGGTTGCCATGAAGATGAATTTGGAGTGAGGGGAAGAGACAGGAGGTTGAAACTACTAACAGTGTTGTTGTTGTTGTTTGTGCTGTGGAGTCGGTTCCGACCCATAGTGACCCTGTACAGGTTTCCGAGGCTGTAAATCTTTACGGGAGCAGAACGCCTCATCTTTCTCCCACGGAACAGCTGGTAGTTTCGAACTGCTGACCTTGCAGCTCGCAGCCCGATTCGTAACCACTGTTTTTAGGTACTGTCAAGTCAGCTCTGACCCTACTGACCACGTGGACAATGGAACAGAACACTGCCCAGTCCCGACTCCTGCCTCACAATTGCTGTTACACTTGAGCCCATTGGTGCTGCCACGGTGCCAATCCATCTCATTTAAGAACTTCCTCTTTTTCGCTGACCCTCCACTTTACCAAGCATGATGTCCTTCTCCAGGGACTGATCTTAGTTAACAAAGTATGAGAGCAAGTCTCATCATCCTGGCTTCTAAGGAGCATTCTGGCTGATTTCTTCCAACACAGATTTGTTTGTTCTTCTGGCAGTCCATGGTACTTTCAATATTCTTCTCCATCACTGTAATTCAAATGCATCAATTCTTCTATGGTCTTCCTTATTCATTGTTCAGCTTTCAATTGCATGTATGGCAATTAAAAATATTTTGTCAGACTTGCCTTAGTTCTCAAACAGATATCTTTGCTATTTAACCCTTTAAATTGTTGCTGTTGTTGTTATGTGCTGTGGAGTCGGTTCCGACTCATAGCGACCCTATACAGGGTTTCCAAGGCTATAAATCTTTACGGGAACAGAAAGCCTCGTCTTTCTCCCGCGGAACAGCTGGTAGTTTTGAACTGCTGACCTTGCGGCTCGCAGCCCGATTCGAAACCACTACACTACGAGAGCTCCTTTTAACCTTTTCAGTTAGTCCCTGCTTAAAACAATCTGTTTTACCTTGAAATCTACTGACTTCTTTGTCATTTGGAAGTTCTGTATCTACATTGTTCCCTCTTTTTACTTTGTACTTGGCTTCATTTTACACTGATATCTCTGGTTCAGTCTTGAAGTTTTAACTTTAAATGCGTCTATATCTGGATTAAGGAGCTCTGGTAGCGTAGTGGTTACAAATTGGGCTGCGAACCTTAAGGTCAGTGGTTCGAAACTACCAGCTGCTCCGCGGGTGAAAGATGAGGCTTTCTACTCCCATAAAGATTTACACCCTCGGAAACCCTGTACAGGGTCGCTATGGGTCGGAACCGACTCAACGGCACTTAACAACAACAACATATCTGGATTGGAGTCCTGGAGTGGCACTGTGGATGAATGCAGTTTGAACTGCAAGGTCAGTGGTTCAAACTCACCAGCCACGTCTCAGAAACCTCATACAGGGTCACTATGGGTCAGAACTGACTTGACAGCACTTAACAACAACAACAACAACATATCTGGATTGGACTCCTGGTGTGGCACTGTAGGATCAGCACTGGATTGGGAAGCACAATGTCAGCCGTTCAAACCCACCAGCTGCTCCTTGGGAACCGTATACAGGGTCTCTATGAGTTGGAATGGACTCAACGGGACTTAACAACAACATTATCTGGATTGCTTTCTGGATGATATTGTCATGTATGGTGAACTCAAGGTATTGTTTGCTGTGGTTGATTCTCAGTTCAAAGACCACCCTTTAGCATTTTTTGTAAAGTTGGTCTGGTCATTACAAATTAATTTATATTTGCCAAGAAATGTCCTAATTTCACCATTGCACTTGAGGGACAGCTTTACCAGATATACGATTCTTGGTTGGCAATCTTTTTCTTTTAGAGTTCTGTGTATGTCATCCATTGCCTTCTTGCCTATGGTTTCTGCTGAGAAATCAAAGCTGTTTCACTGGTTCTGTTTTGTAGGTAACTTCATTTTTCCTGAGCTTTATCTTTGAGTTTGGAAAATTTGATTATGATATGTCAGCGATTTTCTTTTGGGATCTATCCTGTTTGGGGTTTGTTCAGCTTCTTATATGTTTATTTTCTTATGTTAGGGAGTTTTCTTCCAATAACTCTTCAACAGTTTTCTCTGTACTTGTCTTTTTCTGTTCTGGAGTTCTGATCACCTGTAAATTGTTCCTCTTCCTGGTGTCCCACATAATTCTTAGTCTTCAGATTTTTTCATTCTGTTTTCTGATTGCTCTTCTAGAGTACAGGTACTGAGAGACTTGTCTTCAAGTTTACTAATTCACACTTCCATCA